GGGGGGGGGGGGGGCGATAAAACGAAAGGGGAGTCCTATTATTATCGAGCCCTGATTCAATCGCTAAATGCGAAAAATACAAATTTTGAAATAAAATTTTTCATTATAATATTGACGTTTTAAGCTTCGATTTTTTTCATTAATTAATTGAATTTTTGTGCAATCAGTGACACGTATTGCATTATTTCTCAAAACTTTCTTTATAATTATCGGAATTGCATAAAAATGCATAGAAAATGTGGCAATGCCGCATGAAGTGGCTATTTCATTTTTCCAAGCTGGTAGTCATGCAGACTATTTTACTCGGTTCAAGTGTGTGGTGTATAACCTATAGGCAAACTGACGAGTCCGTTCCCTCCGTAGCTACCCCCACTTTGGCTAATCCCCACGCACATCTATATCTCCCACCTCTCAAAATGAATAGTCCAGTCAATTTAGATGTTGAGCTCTAAAAAATTCAGCTGGCAATGAAAGAATTCCAATCGATCCGTAAAAATATCTTGAACAATATATCACAATGTTTAATCATAGTTTCAACCGGCAGGTATTCAAATTAATTAAAAACTATCGACTTTATGTGGCGTAACGCCAAGAACTTTAACTGTGCAACTTTAACTNGGGGGGGGGAGTCGAAAAAAAGTCAAGGAATTGATAATTTTTTAAAATAAATTATTTGATTGTTTCAAAACTTCTATACAAAATCCCAGATAACCTAGAAGAATGGGTGAAACAGAGGAATTTTTCTAAAAAATGCATTTTTACACGAGCTCTTATGGGAATTCGGGAAAAAAATATTAACCATAGAAAAAAAAGTCGTAATTTTCCTGAAATTTCGCACTTGGGTGGAGTTTTCATGGAGGAACATGAAAAAATAATCCAAGTGGCCTAGCAGAATTGTTTAAAAGGGATAATTAAATAACTCATGAAAAATAAGAACTCTGTGCGTAATTTGGAATAGCGTGAACATCGAGGTTAGGAATTGTGGAGGGGCAAGCGCGGCAAATACGAATGGAGTTCTGATGATACATTTCGTTATGGGAAGGAACATAACAGCTGAGTGAATCAGTGCTGCCAACTTGTACAAAAATAGTCCAAATAGATTGAAAATTTGTAATTAAAATATAATTTTTTTTTGTTCAGCGATTGGTTTTCTGCGAGAGAACAAGAGATTCCCCTCCATCTCACCTCCTACATGCCCACCCTGCCATAAATACCTTGAGGAGTGCCGTATGTAGATCTCCTGTCGGGGGGGGG